GTTTACTCTAGTTTGAGCACTCTGGCATGGCTTAGACGATACCACAAATGTGGGATCGTTCGGGGTAATCATAACGGTTCTTCCCCATCCTAGCATCAGCACTGCACTGATGAGGCCCAGAAGGCCGAAACGGTACTGTTTGCAGTTATATATATATATATATATATATATATCTATATGCTGCCACTTCTTTCCAAGACTCCAGATAGATCAGAAAAATCCTTGAATTAGATGCAAAAGCAGTAAGTCATCTTCTGAACGTTTCGTGAAAAATGGTGTAACATGTAGGACTTGAAGGTTTCAAATTGCTCTCCTTATTATGCATCTCGCGTTATGTACATGATGCATCGTAATGTTACAATCTTTTCGTTTTCAGCAAGATCAGAGGACTCATGCCCCTCAGCTCCCATTTCGAAGAACCAGACACTACCTCCTGGTTGCGTTTTAAACGGCACAAACACCACAGTCTTGGACGTGGGGGAATGTAAACGTGTTGCATGTGTTAAGGGAAATGACACCTTCAATTCTTCTTGTTCAGATTCCCAGTATTGCTGTGGGCCTCGCTCTTTTGATAGCGTTCTAGCAAAGTGTGGCTCCATCATGTCATTGACTCTTTCCAAAATAAGAACCTGCGGTTGTGGAAATTGTATCGATGAACAAACAGTTATACATGGCCTTACTGTTGGCCAGGAGGGTGAACCAGCAAAATTTGTGGATTTGCTCTTTAATGGTAAACAAGTCGAAAGAACCGACTTGAATGGAATGTTTTCATTTTCTGTTCCGCCAGATACAAAACGAGCAATAGTGACTTTTAAAGACCAAATTTTCAAAAAATTTCAAGAAGAAGACAAAACATTTATTTTAAATGAAGGACAGAAGGCAATGTATAAGGTTACACTTAGAGAAAAACCACAGCCTGTCATATTTAACGCGTCTGAACCACTGGATTTGCCGTTAGGAGGTGATTCTGATAGCTTTGCTGACCTTGAACTACCCGAAAATACGCTATTGACGGAGGACGGTTCTGTTTTCCAAGGAAATGCCAAGGCTTCACTTAGTGTTACTGATCCACGTAACCTCTCTGACATCCTCACAGCTCCTGGAGATTTTACCACCCTGAGTGAAGACGGTGATGAAGAAATCCTTGAGACATATGGTATGATTAAGCTTAAGATGGAGGATGATAAAGGTAAACCCCTAGTTATGTCAAAGCCCATGAAAGTCTACCTAGATCCAGAAAAACTCAACTTGACCGTGTCTGAAGGTAATGCCTCCGCTAAACTTTACTGGCTTGACCGGAAGACAGGACGGTGGAGGGAGGCTGGTGATTTTTCTCTCGAAGATGGAAGCAAACGAAGACGAAAACGAACCAACAGAGTCTTTCTAGTAGGAACTGTGACACCGTCCTTAGCTCAGGAATTTCTCAACTTTGATCGGCCAGAAATGAGAGTCGGCGTACGAGTAACGGTCAGTTCAGCAGAGGATAACGTCATCATAACGGCCATCCGTAAAGACAACAAGGGATACGTTCAGCGCATTACAAATCAAGGTGTAGTTTGCATGGCGATTTGGAAAGATAAGGACTACTACCTTCAAGCGGAAAAGGATTCCAAGTATTATGATCCTGATCAAGATATCAAANAACATTTTTGATGTGATACCTAAAATTGACTGTTTGCCTTCATTCTACAGTTAAACCATGATTGTGAAGTTTTTTTGAGGGGAATTCGACGTGGACTTGACATTTTACAGAAGACTGACATCATTATCGTATTACTTTTCACTACGAAAGGAAGTTCGTCCTCTCCTTTTAGCGATCCTCCTCTCACAGTGAAAATTTTTTTACAACTGATAGTAAAAGTGACGTAGCAGGTGGACATGGCTAGCACACCTCATTTGCGTAATCTTTCCATTAACTTTAACCAGATTATTTTGCTTCCGTCAAGTTAATACTCTGTTTCTAGTTACTTTACGTATTTAGCTCTGAGCAGTTGGCCATTTTAAGATAAATAGCTATTTCATATTTATATAAATATCTGTCAAATACGTTTCTTCGCAAAGTATATAATTCGTTACCAATAAAGTGAATCAGGTTTCATCAATAATTAACAGAGATGCATTGCATCCTTTGCAAAATTGCGATAGCTTCTTAACACTTGTTGTCCTGATGTTCGTTCCGATGAATCATTTTAAGACGATAGTTGTTGAACAAAACTATGTAGTATGGTCAGCTGGAAACGATCCAAAAGCAAAATCAAATCAAATCATAATCATCCTTTTAGATTTGTATCTGATGGATTAAATTTGCAAACTTAATCTGCCAGAGCTGGAATGCGAAGAAACTAGCTCAGAGAACTGTACCAGTTGTATCCTTAGAACGGTAAATGGAGGAACGTTTGTCTTAGATTTTCAAAAACTTCGTAAGGATTTTCCTAAAACAACGAGTAATCGTGCGATGTAATGATCCGTATATCATCCCATGGGCCTTTAGGTTGCCTGACGATAGTTATAAGAGCACAGTTAGAACTTACAACTGGCCCAGTGATGGAGATAAATGTTATGTTAAAATAACAGTCACCGGGAGGAGATCAGTGTTCAAAGCCGAAAGTTACACAGCAAACAAGAAAGACCTCTATGGTTACAGTACTGACATAACAAGAGCGACTTTGGATAATCAAACAGCATCGGCCACTTGCCTTGAATATAGATGTAGCGATGTAATGAATAATGGATCTTTAATTAACAACACGTATATTGCAATCAGGCCAGTTTCGGATGGTTGCCAATTTGTGAAATTGGGACATGACTTGGATCGTTATCAGAGCCAATGCCCATATTCTCTGCCCCCTCAACAAGGAGTGGCTCGTTCCATATGTGACGTACCACTGCCATCCTTTGTACTTCCTGTCCCGGGTTTATATAACAGCCAGTACTTTCCATGGGGTACCACAGAGAGTAGTTGCAAAACTGGAGACCCAAGGTTAGGGTTCCTATTCTCTGGTACGTTTTCTTCAGGCTTTGCTTTACATTACGATTGTACATGAACTAATAAGCGCAGTGTAGGCCAACTAAAATATAGGAAAAAAAAACATCCTGGTATTTTCATGTCGCTCTTTCAGCAAAGAAGAAGTAACGTTATTACTTTAATTTTTCTTTACTGATGTAGAAAAATTCGTTTATCTAAGCTGATTACAAAGTCCTTAGGGGGCCGGTCATTATTTGTCACCTGGGGTTGATTGTGTCACTATTCAATTTACCTAATCCCCCCATAAGGCTCTGAAATATCCTTATAATCCCCCTCAAATGCATGTAATCGACAGTCAATTTTCATTAGTGCCCCCTCTTTATTCTGTCAGCGAAGACTGATGCCCCCTTCCGTTCCCCCTAAAAAAACTAGTGACCCCCCTTAAAATCCCCCAAAACAGCACCAGGTGATAAATATTGACTGGTTCCTAAGTTGTTCACTTTATATGAAACTCAGAGGTTCCTGAAGGGTAGGGGAGTGTAGAAATCGTGTCGTTACATCTTCGGGTGCTAGACACAAGGTCTTTTTATCTTGGGTCCTTCTAGGTGTGGACATTTTCATCAATTTCTATTTTAATTTTTAGTTCCCTTTAGGGGCCTCTTTTCAAATAGAGATTTTATAGGTACAAAGTCGATAAAAACTTTGCTCAGTAGCCATATGACTGCTTTTAAGGTTAGCTCAAGTACGCTTGGCGTTACTCATTCTTATCCGGATATTATTTGATTGTCAGAGCTTAAAGATAGTAGCGACACGGTACCTGCGCAGTTAGAGCGCTTTTCCATTGAGTGTTGTAAGACCAAACCAGAGTGGGTAAAATCAACAAGCAATCAGATACATGGAAAGTATCTGCTGCAAACTCAAAAGAGAAAAGTGCAGACTGCCTGGAGCATGGGATAGCGCGCTTCAGCTAACTCGTGTTTGGATTTTGTTTTGCATCGGATTGATTTTTAGGATGGCGTGAGTTTATAGGTCAATCGATGAGCGCATGCACAGTTAAGGTAAATCTATAAAATCTCGAATTACCTGCGAAATTTCGTTAAAAATTGCTCTGCATCAAGCCCAGATTTCTGAGTGCATAATGCATCGATCAATTCGTTCTTCAACATCCCCCCCGGGCAACCCACTAGCATTTGACTGTTGCCGGCCCAGCCCGGGGATGGCGAATCTGAACCTTACCTGGCTGGGGTAGGGAATTTGAACTCGTTGCCTGCGGATGGATGTTGAAGCCTCGAATCGATTGACGCTTAAGTGATATTCAACTATTGACTTTATGTTACATTTCCTCGACTTATTTAAGAGAGATGATCTTGCGAATGTTTGTTATTGCATTTAGTTATATACATATTGTTTAATTAGTTGTGTCCTTAATTTCTGAACAAAACAGCTTCGGTAACAAGTTATTTTTGTTATGTTAAACTTTTTTTTCTTAGACAACAAGCGCTATACAATGCTGTTGATAGCCTAAGTTTATCATTAACAGACATGAACGAACGAGAAATGCCTCATTTATTTAACTTATGTTACGTGGACTGATCCTTGCTGCTGAGTGTATACTGTGGCTAAGCATTACCGCTGTAGTTTGCTTTTTTTTTGTTTAACGCATTGAACAACAGTTTTTTTTAAGAAAATAATAATAGAAATAGCATATGACAAGCATAAACTGTCCGAGTGTAGTAATCAAAAATAAAAATGGATTTTGCATTAGGTCATCTGAATCTTAAACTGTGACAGGTCAAATCAAGAAGACAGTACACAGGGAGCGAGGGAGGGGAAGGCGAAGGGTGGGGAGAGACGGGAGATAAAAACAATACTGCCTTTTCATTTTCAGTAATAAGGTTTTATTGATCTTTACACATTCTTTCTGTTATAATATTTCCCACTCTACTTTATCCAATAGGTTTTAAATGATTTATTGATTTATTGCTCCTCGACAGGCTGAGTAGGAAGATACGACAAACCAGCAACAATTTAAAGCACAACGAAACTATCAACGCGTGTTCTGTTTTAGGGCTAACAGTTTACCCCGTTGAGACCCTCCTGTTGGAACCCAGAGGCAAAATAACTACCTTCAAAATAACTAACCTCGTTTGCTCGGTCCCTGATGTTGATTACGGAACCTTGTTTCCTTTTCTGCTCTGATCCATGGCCCAAGCGCGAACGCGCGGGCAACAGATACGAGCGAAAATCTCGGTCCGCATCTCACGGTACGAGGTCTTAAATTACAATGAAAATTGTAGAACACTTTCCAGGTTCAAAGCTGAGCATTCTTAATAAATCTATTGCCTTCAGAGTTCTTCCCAGAGTAATTGTACCGAATTCGTCCGAACGTTCCCCTGTGTTTACCTGGAGCCTTTGTAGCACTGGGCAGCGGAGTGAATCTTGATATTTCCACGCTTTCTTGCATTTGAGCTTTCTGTCAATCAAGAAAATCATAACGCAATGAAATTGGTTTTAACAGCTACAGAACACGTTCTAGTGAATAAAGGCTGATAGTTTGTAAAAGAAACTGTTTGGGGCTGCGTCGGTGGGGGTAACGAAATAATTTGGATATATCAACAAAGTTGAAATGGTAAATTGGTCACCGTAACGATTGCAAAAGCTGACGTTTCGAGCGTTAGCCCTTCGTCGGAGCGAAGGACTAAGGTTTGGGGTTTAGTTTTTCTCAAGTGGAGACAACGCGAATCAATGTTGCAATTTTCTGCAACCTACCAGGTCGGTTACTGAAGGGGCAACGATCTTCATATAAGCACCAACTCTCTGTGCCTCTCTCTTCTCTGCTTTTTGAACAGGCCTGGAATGGAGGAATTTTAGGTTTGGCAGCCGGTGAAGTACATAGTATCTGAAGGATAAAGTAGAGATAAAAGATAATTCATGTCGTACAAGTCATATAATCATTTTTAACGGCATCATATATTGTAATGTTAGCATTGTGGTCATGTTATCGTTATCGTTGTTGATATCATCATTACCATCATCATCAAGGGCAACACTGTTTTCATCGTCGTCGTTATCATTTGCGTCATTAAGATCACAATCATCAGCGCTATCATCATCACCGTTAACAATGATGACAACACTGAGATACAATAAATATATGAAGTTCATATATTTTGAACTGCGGTATTAAATACGTATGATGCACGATCCTTCGCAGTAGAGAGGGCTATTTATGCAATAGCGAAAATCAGACCTGAAAAAAATCAGGGCTGTACGGGGCCCGAACCACTGAACCAAGCTCCCAGTTGGCTTGTTAGTTCAATTGGTAGAGCGCTGCACTAGTATCGCAGAGGTCAGTGGTTCGAGTCCCGTACAAGCCTGATTTTTTTCAGGTCTGATTTTCGCTATTGCATAAATAGCGCTATCTACTGCGAGGATCGTGCATCATACGGATGACAACACTGGAACATAACAGGTTACACTGAGATGGATAAACCCCCCTCAAAATTGACAAAGAGCCAAATCAGAAAACCTTAATTACTCGATAACCTGAAAATCATTTTGCGCGAGAGTTGTTATCTTTCAGAATGAAAATTACATCGACATCAAAGTCTTTGCACTGAAAGAGAGAGATCTCGAACACCCGGGCATCTTGGAATAACACTCAGATAGTTTCTTCACATTATAAGGATGATAAAACATTTCTCAATAGATCTATGGAAATATATGCTAAAAATTGCCAAAAAGTTGCAGAGAAATCATAAGCAAGGTTGCTGAAGTTTCAAAACATTTTCGAGAAACTCGTTCTTAACCCAACCTGGTAAAAATGGAAATGCAGCCGCAGTAGCCCGTAATGAAATAGGGAAAAGATTAATTAAAAAGATAAAATGAAAGGGATTAAGAAAGTTCAATAAAAATGAAATTGAAGCCAGATGTTAAACGATGGCAAAATAAGAAATTCAAGTTAAGTAAAAAGTAATCACCTGTATCGTTGATAATCTTCTTCGTCTCTGTATGAAAATGACAGTTCATTTGGACAGGCCTGGTTACTTAGCAGGCTGAGATATTTCAGAGAGGGTAAATTCTTAGAAACTTTGTCCAAGAATACGTCTAGATTGGATATGTATTAAAAGTTAAGGATCAAACAAAAAAAAGTGAAAAGAGAACTCCTTGAAAAACAAAAAATTGATAAAAACGGTTTATATTACCCTCTGATGTTTTGTTATCTTGCATGGCCGACAGGGTCACGTGACACGAACACGTAAAGGCCTTTCGCTCGAGTTATGACCAAATACATCAGTATCATCTTCACGTCTCTAAATCAAATTTGTGCAAGCGGGTTTAAAATGGACAACACTTAATTCCATTTGAGTTAGTTTTGAATTCAGCAAAATGCGTTGAAACTCACTCGTCTTTTGTCAAACTTGGACAAGTGGGAAGGATGCAAGTTATAAGAGCTCGAACGACATAGGCGTGGCAAGTTACTGGGCAGGCCTATCCCAGGTAGAAGAAAAAATGGAAAGGATATATTGTTTTTGTTTAAAGTTAGAGTGTGTAAATTGGCCATTACGGGAATTTCCACATCATCTCCCAGCTGGTTGTTGTCAAGAATAAGTTCCTCCAGATTTTCGAAACAGTACAAGCCATTCAACGATCTGTAAATGAATAAATATATATATATATGAATATTTTAAAATACAAGAAATTAAAATAAGATTCTGATTGGTAACAAAAGGTCAACTTTGTGTTGGGGAACTTTCTTTTTTGGCCACAATGTGTTTGTTTCGTTAAAAAGGGCCGGGTCTCCCCAGGGACGGCATAGAATCCCGGGCATAGAATTCCAGCTGAAGTTCCTTGTCGAACCATCTCCCAGATCTTCTCGGTCAGCGCATCTCGGTAACGAGACCAAGAGGAGAGACTAAGCTTATGTTACTAATGACTACTCTGATTATGAGTACCGCTGGATGTCACCACCCATTGAGAATTTGGGGCGCTGTGCAAATGCTATGGATATGTAGCAGAGAATGGAAAAACGTGGGAGATAAGGCGGGGTGGAGAGGGTGAATTAATTTTATTCAGAACGGCAACAAAAACAACGTTTGTTTTGTTTTTGTTTTTTTTTTTTACCTTAATTCGTTAGAGCTTAGGTCCAAGATCTTGACTACTTTTCCATATTTTTTCCCAATAGTCTCTGGTATGTTCTTTGCTTCCCGACAAACCAGCGACAACTGACCAAAACAAAAGGATAATACTATCAGATTTATCTGAAAATTGACTTCTGCCACTGGAATTATATGTTAAAAATACCAACCGGCATCTGTTAAGTTCAACTTAATCAGTTCTATCTTTTGGTGAAGTAAAATAGAAGGGACTATGAACTGAACACAAGCTAACTTGAATCAAGTTACATAACGAAATTTTGTTTTTCATACCTTGGTCACGTAAAACATTTTGACTTAAAATCGAGTCTTTCTGAGGACTCATATTACAACTGACTTACTGTAATTTTTAACATTTAAACAATTCAACTTCTGATCCACACAGTGTGATAAATAATGGTAACTGAACTGAGTGGAGTGCAATTTGGGCTGAAATCATACGTATGATTTCAAAGTCGAACTCGCGCTGCGCGCTCGTTCGATTTGAAATCACAAGTATGATTTCAGACCAAAATTGCACCACACGAGGTTCAATTACCACTTTATTACATTCATTTTGAATTCGCCCAAATACAGGACTTGGTCAATTCAAATATTTTACTGATGCAGTACTGAGCCGGTTTTAATTTTAAATAAAAAGCGGAACCGCAAAAGGCTTTTACATCTTATTTTGTATGCAAAACAGAAAAACATCGACTTTGAGTCATCTGTCAAAAACTCAGTCAAGGGTAAAATGTGCGATTTAGAGCAAAAAATGGTGCGATTTGGGAATAATTCGCACCAATTAGAGCAAATCAGATTACAGGGACCACCAGTGATTTCAAAATGGATGAAATAAAACCGCAAACTGTTTTT